AGGCACAAATGAGCTCTGGGTCTCCATTCCCTAGCTGGCAAAAGATGTATCACTTCTCTCTGTAGTTCATCCTGATGGATTGTTTAAGAGCTACATAGTCCACAATTAATCACAATAAGTAATGAGATGCACAACTACTGTTTGCAAGCCTCTAAAATAGAAAGGTTGCAGATGTCATCTGTTCCACATCTAGAATTTGGGATAATTAATCCCAAAACACAGTGTGACAAGCAGCAAAGCTATGAAAGGCGCCCATCCTACATCAGACTGGCTCTACCAAAAAGAAACTCATACAAAACCAGGGCGCAACAGCACTTTTCATTGCCAAAACCCCGGGCAGGGCTATAAAACTGTTTCCAGGCCAGGAGAGGACACGGCAGAAACAATTTTACAAAGGAGCGACACGGTGCTGGCAGAACTGAAGCATGGCAGAGACGGCTAGTGTTCTGCTGGGGCTGCCGCTCGGGCTACCAGGCTTAAATCATGCACAGAGCTTTCAGAACTGGGAAGCTGCCTGCAAACGGCTTTTATTTGAAATATACAAAAGGACAGAAGGGTGACAGTTCAGCTGATAGAAGGGTGGCAGCACCCAGCAGAGCCTCACTGCTTATAGCAAGGGCAGCAAGCAAGGGACAGCAGAAACACCCTCCTGTGCAGGTGAGAATGAAAGTGGTGCAGGGCCTTGCAGAGCAGGGAAAAGGAAAGCCACGAGTGCTGCAGGCAGTGTTGCCAAGTGACGAGCAAGTGCCTAACCAATCGTGACACTGCGACCCAGTCGTCACACCCAGCCTCACCTGGCGTCTCTGCGCCACCCCAAAACTGCGGCGCAACGGCACTTCTCATTGCCAAAACCCAGGCTCATCAATGATGAGCCCGTTTCTCTGAGCAGGATTACTGTCTTCCCTTCTCTGCACACAGGGAACACTGAGGCACAAAGCAAGAGACATAGAATCACAGAATCATTTAGGCTGGAAAAGACCTTTAAGATCATTGAGTCCAACTGTCAACCACGCCCACTAAACCATGTCCTGAAGTGCCTTGTCTACACGCTTTTTGAATACCTCCAGGAATGGTGACTCAATCACTTCCCTGGGCAGCCTGTTCCAATGCCTGACAACCCTTTCAGTAAAGAAATTCTTCCTAATATCCAACCTAAACCTCCCCTGCCACAACTTGAGGCCATTTCCTCTCGTCCTATCACCAGCCACCTGACAGAAGAGACCGACCCCCGCCTCACTCCAACCTCCTTTCAGGTAGCTGTAGAGAGTGATAAGGTCTCCCCTCAGCCTCCTCTTCTGCAGACTAAACAACCCCAGTTCCCTCAGCCGCTCCTCATAAAACTTGTGCTCCAGGCCCCTCACCAACTTTGTTGCCCATGACAGGTGCTCCCAGGGTTCAGTAATAAGACAGGGGATATCAGTGACAACCTCTTTGGCTTCGAGCCCCTTGGCTATCGAGATGTCTCTCAGAGCACCCACCACCCTCCCCAACAGGGGCACGCAGGCAGACACACCTGAACCAGCGGCACCGCAGCAAAGCATTCGAGAGCCACAAGCAGCAGCTGGAGACCTTGCACTTCGCAAACTTTGCTCAGCACAGATGGGGACACGGAGTGACACGCAATTAAAAAAAAAACCTTCCTGGGGGGATACAAAAATAATACCGTGTACATTCCAGCTTCCCGAACAACAATCGCCTGAGAAGCCTGCACTGTGGGAAAGTCTCAGCTTGCTTTTCCTGCATATTATAAATAGAACTATGGCTGCAAGCAGGGCTTTAAACGCGGAGGAAGGGGGAAAAGGCCATTTAATGGGCTCTGTTTGAACTCAGGCTCTGGCCAGTGTCCAGCTTTCTGCAGAACAGCTGGTCACTTCCTGCCGAGCAAAGGCCAGTGTCGCCACGCTGGGAACCAGGAAGCCCAGGCCAAGGGCTGCCTGTCAAATCCTGGAGTCCACGAGCCCGCTCAGGCCGTCGCACCTTGCACTGCCACACATGTCACTGAGGAGCCTGCTCTGCTCCCGCCTGGGGACAGGCCTGTTTTCTCCGATGTGTTGCAAACACCAGGCAGACAGTGTGAGACCAGGTGAGTATGCGTGAACTTCTCCAGGACTCCAACATGCAGGGCTTGCATCCAAAGGGTCTTGAGAGCTTCTCTTCCAGCAAACTGCTTGGATTCTGACCCCATGTGAAGGCTCAGCACCCACCAAACTCTGCAGGACTGAAGCCCACAAGTTACTTGCACTGCCTGGTTCTTCAGGCTCCTCGTCTTTGTCCAGGTGACTGCCACTTTCCCTTATGGGTACACTGCTCATCACGAGCCCCTGCAGAGCCCTGCCATGGGCAGCTCAACATCCTGTTATCCACATATTTATTCTTCTCTTCCTTCTTCTAGCTCCTACTCATCCAGGTTATGAGCCTGCAGTTCCCCATGCCACCTTTTAAGCACTAGCATCATACTTTAAGCAGTATACCACACATCAGAGCCAGTGGCTTGTTCTGCAGTGGTACCACCGGGGCCCAGCAGTTCATTACTTAGTCTCGCTGCTCCCCAACCTCTTCTCCCACCACTTCAACAGGAGCCAAAAAGCCTCCAGAAAGCCTTCAGCCTAAGGGCCCTGGCCTCTTCCACTGTAAGAAACAACGCAGACACGCTTCAGTTTCCCGTCACGGCATTGCCGCTTCTCATCCTTCCTCACACCCCTGGCCGCAGGCTGCCTGCTCCCCGCCCACGTCGCGGAAGGCTTTACTCCCAGCCCTCAGGCCTGCTGCTCCCCCGACACCTGCCTCATGGCCACCTTGCCCGGCCGTGAGACGAGCCAGGCGTCGAGGGACCGCCGTTCCCACGCTCCCCGCCCACTCGCGGGGTTGCCAGCAGCCCCACGGGCGGGAGCGGGACGTTGAGGGATCCCCTCAGAGAACCAACGGCCACCAACGACCCTCAACAGCCGCCCGCCGCAGCGTCACGAAGCGGGGCGGGGCGAATAGGGGAGGTGGTGGAGGGCGGCGCGCCTGCGCGCTGGGTAGGCGTGGCGCGGCGCGCGCCTTTGTTTGGGGCGGCGGTTTCCCAGGCTGCCCGGCGCGGGGGGCCGGGGGGGGCGGG